TTCTCTAAACGATACCATGAAATCAAAAACCAACTTTTTTCTCCCCTTCCAAAAATGTTCCCTTTATCTCCTGAGTAATACTTACTTTAGGGCTATCTCCCAGAATTTTTCCAGAAGACAAAGGAATCTTGGGATTTTGTGGATGACAAGGGATGTTTACAAAGGAATTTATATTCACTGAAAGAAAGCAACCCGCTCTGGTATTTACCCATTACTTTGGAAAGTCATTCACCCACACACCCTACTGTGCCAAACGAAGCTGCACAAACACACGCATCATAGACGTACGTGTTTACTTGTGCTCCTTTGAACACACACGTAGTTTTCTTTCTCGTCTCTCAAGGCTGTTTACTGTGGTTGACTTCAGAGTTCAAGTTCTGACCAAAGATATTTAGAATTAGGCCTGACTGTAAGTGCATCTCGCATTCTTATTTCTAACCAGCAGCCTCTATTTTTAAACTCTCCTGACCAACGCTTTCTAAAGCTATAACCGTGATGGCTAATGAAGCTGGGACTTCCCCCCTTCCACACAGAACAGTTCCTAGTTCTTGGGACTCTTCCAGTAGACTTCAGGAGCTGTTTCTGAGCGCCCGGTGTGATGGGAACTTTCTCAGAGGTGCTGTGTATCAGACATGGATTCACAGATCTCTAGTGCCATATCTCTGATCAGTTCCCCTGTTGACAGCATCCCATTCTGTTTTCTAGAATGTAAACCCACACTGACATTTCTTGATTATATGTCTTGGTTGCTGCATGAGACCCAGAGGCATTGAGAAACCTCATTATAGATGTGTTCTCAAACATGTGGGCAGCGGGGAAGAATTCGGATTTCAAGCAGGCCCTTGGAAGGAGGGAAACTGATGTCATTTTTATGTGTTCAGTGGCTCCTGAAGAATCTCTAACTAGCATTAGGTGTCCTTTCTTACTAGGGTCACAGGAACCAATAGCTGGCCTTTCGGCCCTGAGGTAACATTTAAGAGAAGAAGTTCTATAGTGGATACTCTAAAACTCATAAAAATGGACTGTACTTCATCCCAAAGTGTTGACCTTTCTTTCCATTGCTTCCAAAAACCCTCGTTTTAATTTCAGGCTATCAACCTCAGGTACCGGTGAAGGGCGCTAGGTGGATAGTCCGAGAAACTGAAGTATTTCGGAAGCTGTGCAAGCCCGGAAATAGCCCACGTTTCTATTTGTTTTGGCAATTTTAAACTACTAGAATCTAGAATCCATGCTACAGTTAAATTTTCCCCAGGCACTATGGAATGAAATCACATATTACATTTGATTTTAACTGGTTGAGAAAAAAAGATGGTGTTTTTCTGAAAAGTTCGTTGTATGACCCTGAAATAGATATTAACATTTATGTGGAAGAACTGGACTAACCATTTAAGTCCTAGTTATCCACAAAATAAGATATTTTCCCAGGTGGAAGGAATCTTAGACAACTGAGTTCTCTTCAGCTATATGTTGGAGAAGACATACATTAACGGAACTGTGGTCGAACTTGGGCTTGACATTATTGACAATGTGAGATACTTCTACTCCATTTTGAGCACACACACACACAAACACACATACACTTATACATATACACATACACAAACACAGGTATATCTGTATAAATTTTCAATAAACCCTCACAATAGCTGTGTGGGAGAGCATCAGTTGTTACCGTGGTAGGAGATGAGGAAACTGAGACATAGGCAAGCTGGACAATTTGCCCATGAGAAGGCAGCTAATAAAAGAGCTCTGACTTTCACTGAGGCCTTCTGATGGGGCTCAGTGTTCTTAGTGATGATCCTCTCCTGCTTCTCCAACTTGTAAGCTCTATGCCTTGTCTAGATATCTACAATTTGTCTCAGAATTGTGTGTTTTAACTAGTTTTAAGCACAATTATCAATTTTTGAAGCTTTGAAGCTGAAATGTGGGGGTTGTTAATAAGAATTAGCACACTGCTTGCTCCAAGAAAACCCTGAGTGGATGGTGACATTCCCTGTGAAGCATTTAGCTAACCACAACTGTCACACTGAGTCCCTGAGCAATTTCAATGTAAGCCGAAGAAGGGCGTTTCAAACCTGTGAGATGTCAGCAAACCTCTTCTCCCTTCCCTGGTTTGTTCTGTGATTGCCTCGCTATCCTTCGTAGGAAAGGAGGAATCATTTAGGCTCAAGAGTTTTACTTCCTTTTTGTGGTCTGTCGTTCTATTAGAGTGAATTTGCCTATATCACTCACTTATCTATCCAAGCATTTATCTGTCTGTCCATCCATCCATCCATCCATCCATCCATCCATGCATCCATCCATCCATGCATCCATGCATCCATCCACCCATCTGTCCACCTATCCGTTCATCCATGCAGTCTTCCATCCATCTGGTATACCTCGAAGTCCTTGGGTATTACTACTAAAATGAAATGAAAGGACAATGCTTGGTTATGTTTTCCTGATCCCTATTACACGACAATGACATTTTGGCATGTTAAGGATTGCTTGTAAATGGATAAAATGCATTTCAAAAAGAAATGCATCCTGGACTGAGGTCTAGGGCTGTGAGAACTGATTTTTAGCTAGAAAGCCCTGTCGATTTCAGTTTTCCTCGAATGAAGTTTATAATTAGATACAGCCACCCAAACCTTTCCACAGGGCATAAATTCTGAATGCCTTTGCTGAGCTGTGGTCTGCAGAAGAGCTGTCTGTGTCTGAAGGCCCTCCTAAGATGATGTGGCTTTAGTGTCAGCGTCTGCCTGAGGCTGGCCCCAAAGGGTGCTGTTTTAGTAGAATGCAGCATCTCCTGATAATCTAGGATCAGTTTGCAAAGATACCAGAAGTAGGTTAGCTTTCTTTGGGGGTTCTAACAAGTACTTCGAACTGAACCTTTTGATCCTACTTTGAGCTCTGAATATCTCTATAATATTGAAGAAATCCAAGATTTTCAGTGAGCTGTGGAGAAAAGGGGCTCAGAGAGTAGAAAAAACATCAGGAGCATGAAGGACTAGGCAGGACTTCTTGAAGTAGGTTACCTAGATGAAGTAGGTTACCTAGGTGAAGTAGGTTACCTAGGTGAAGTAGGTTACCTAGGTGAAGTAGGTTACCTAGATGTAGTAGGTTACCTAGGTGAAGTAGGTTACCTAGGTGAAGTAGGTTACCTAGATGTAGTAGGTTACCTAGGTGAAGTAGGTTACCTAGGTGAAGTAGGTTACCTAGGTGAAGTAGGTTACCTAGATGTAGTAGGTTACCTAGGTGAAGTAGGTTACCTAGGTGAAGTAGGTTACCTAGGTGAAGTAGGTTACCTAGGTGAAGTAGGTTACCTAGATGAAGTAGGTTACCTAGGTGAAGTAGGTTACCTAGATGAAGTAGGTTACCTAGGTGAAGTAGGTTACCTACTGTGGCTTCTGTCATTTTACCACCTCAAAGGTCACCAGGAGCTTGGCAGAGGGCTGCTGCCTTCTACACTCTCTTAGAGAGGGGACTCACTATTTGGATAATATTGAGATTTTTGCTTTCTTCTGGCAGAAAAATATCAGATTCAGGGGACACTTCCCATGGCCAGTTCTACTCCCCCTTTTCTTTGGTACTTGATTCGCTTTGACAAAGTTTTGCTGTCTGCCCAGAAGAAGCTTAGAAACCAAGTATGTTTTCACCTAGGTCCAGATCTCCTGGTCTTTAAAACAAAGAGAGAGAAGCAGATGACTTCCGAGGCCTTTGCCAGTGCAAAAATAGCATGGTCCTAGGGGCTTTTCTAATGAAGAAGACGCTCACAGGAGTAAGTTCTCAAGATCTAGTGCTCTCTCTCTCTCTCTCTGTCTCTCTCTCTGTGTCTTTCTCTGTCTCTGTCTCTCTCTGTGTGCAGGAAGAGTAAAGTAGCGAGGGAGAGAAAGGGAAGAACAGATAGATGGATAGTTGAAAATAGTATTTTTTCCCTTAGGAGAAACAATCAAATGATATAGGTTGGTATCAGATATGTTCACTGTGGGATAGTTGCTATTCTAATCCCCTAAATTCATGAGTATGGTCTCAGTCCCTATTGTTTGTGAAACAGTGCTCATAGAGGTAGACACATGGTTTGACGGAGGTCATCACCTTCAAATGAGTTCATTAGGGTGAGCCCCAGTGTAGTCTCACTGATGCCCTAATGAAAACAAAGTATTTGGGCACCGAGGGAAGATCGTGAGGACACAGGAGGGGGGCCTCCAAGGGACTGATATCTTGAATGTGGATTTCCATTCTTGAGAACCACAAGAAAAAAAGTGTATCTGTGGGTTAAGCCACTTACTCTGTAGTCTGTGGTACTTGATTATGTCAGCAATAGCAAGCTAATACATCTTTTATGTCTGATACCAAAGTACAAAATAAAAGTTCAGAGACCTTTGAAAGGTTACCGCACAGGCGTTTATGTAAATACGGGATGCTCTTTGGCCTAAACCCTGGACTTGACTGAGGAGCAGAGTCACCAATGAAATCCAGGGCAGAAATCTGGGAATGACTATGGCACAAACAGGTCACTGTGAATCTGCGTTAATATTTAACTCTGAACATCTATTTACATGGGCGATTCTTCTCTAATAGATTTGTACGAAATTTAGCATGCGCACAGAAGACGCAAACTTTATTTGCATATTTTATTCTGATTTGGTTTTTTGAAGAAGGGGGTGCATCTCATTGGCATGGTTTTAATTTTTTTTTTTTGTTGTTGTTGTTCTTGGTAATCTGTCCTTGTCACTTTGTAGTTTGTGAAATGTTAGATTTTCCTTTTCAGTTCTTTCCCTAGTAGCTTATTTTTCCTTCCATCCTAGGCATTACCTAGCTCAGCTGGGGTTACCCTTCCTCATCTCCTCTACAGCTTTTCTGAGTTGCGCTCTGCTCCTCTCTCATCCTCACCTCTGCCACTTCCCCTTTGACCTCTGTTCATAGTTCCTAGCTCCACTCTCCCTCCTCCTCTCCTCTGATTGGCTGAGTCGCTTCTGGCCCCTCCTTCCCTCCAGGGTGTGTCTTTGGCTCACCTCTCCTTCTCCTTTGTGGCTTCATTTTCTTGTTCGTGGATAGGGGCTGGGACTGCAAACATCACAAAAATAATTGCATTGAGAATAGATGGTTCCTGTGCCAAAGAGTCTTTGAGTCTAGCAAGAAGGTCTGGGCTCCACAGGAAAGGGGAGCCAGGCTTGCAGAGGGGTCTACAACTCAGGCACCCGAGCTGGCATTACAGAGCCTTGGGCCTTTTCTCTCGTACCCACATCCTCTTCAACTAGAAAGAATGAACACTCCTTTGCTCTTCATTCGCACACACATGCTTTCTGACTCCCATGCCTACTGTTTTCTGTGTACACCCACCAAGTCCTGGACAGCCCCCTTGCATCCCTCAGGTCACTCACTGGGGTGATGTCTCCCCTAAGACACCATGGTCCTCCTCCAGCCTCAGCTGTGGTTGAGGACCAGGAAACAGCACAGGTCTCATTGTGAACATCTGGGTCTCTTATCATCATGATTTTTGCACAATGCTGCCTTTGTTTCAAGAATAGAATCGACATGTCCCCTTTTTTGTTTTTTTTCAGCAGGACTCTTTAGAACACCCGAGAGAGGGCTGTTCTTTCTTCCCCTTTCCTTCTCTTCTCTTCTTATTTCTGTGTAAGGACTATAATTTTACTTAGGCTCTGATATATTCCTTCCTTCCTTCCTTCCTTCCTTCCTTCCTTCCTTAACAAGTATAGAAAGTGGCCAACATGCATTGGTGTTTTATGTGCTTCTGATTACACAGACGGTGCTTCTGAGGTTGCTTTACAATAAATGTTTGGACAAAGAGTGCCTTGCTTTTTGACCACTAGAAACATCTAAGCATTCCTACAGCCAGAGTCTCTCCATTTTCAGTATCCTTCTCTTTCATGTACAATTGCCACTGTGAATTTCAACTAGGTCCTAGCAGGGAGTCTTTCTGTGTTTGGAACACTGTAGAATTCCAAAACTTACAAGATTTTATTAGTAGATACACTTATGGCAAATGTTAATCTTGTCTGACAGTTACTTGGTGCAGGCACTCCACTTGTACATGGAATATGTCTTCGAATATACTAACTTACTGAATTCTGACAACTTGTGCAGTATATGTAATCATTACCACACTGATAACTAAGACTTGGGATGCTATTTGGCAAAGAGGCCTCACTGGGCAACTTGAGTTTTGACAGGTTTAGTCCTTGTTTTCCACAATCTTCCAAGTGTCAGATTATCCAGGAAAGTGAAAAAGATAAATTTCAGTAGCAAGTGATTAGAAGGATGGATGTGTAAGCCATCCAATCGGTGGCATTGGAGTCCTTTGACCTGTCATCTAGGAAACATAGGACAGAATTTCCATTTGCGTCCCCTCCCCCCATGTCTGAAAGAGCACTCAAGAATGATTGCATCCCAATCATACACACGTACCTTCTGAGTCTTGGGCATGTCAGTGTGGCGCTGGGCACGGATAGAGCGGGCTGATTTTGTAGGCTTGAGGGGAGCACAGTACATCTCCAGCCTTCTCAGGTCACAGCTCCGGAAGCAGCACTCATCCACGATGCCTGTCTGAGGAGCCCTCCGAATGCTGGAGCCGTAGCCCGTGGGCTTGTCTGCACAAATCAGAGCGGTCCTCGAGTTAGACAGAGCTGCCCACATCCACAGACTCCCATCGAATTCCTGGATGCCTCTCTTTAACTACGTCAAGTCTCTACTACTCCAACACGTCACCCTTTTCCTGCACTATTGTCAGCAATGTCTGATCTGTTATATTCCTTTAGATTCCAGTATGTTTCCTGGAGTTAAGCCACACTCATGCAAGAATTCATTCACCATACACTTTTGTTTGTATTGACTCTGACCACGTTTTCAACAAGCTGTATTGGAGGATCTTGTTTCTGTCCAGTCTTATCACTTCTCTGTCTATTGTCTTTGCTGAGAGACCTTTAGAAGGGCTACTTAAAACAAAACTACAGATCAAGCTTCTTAAAATTTTGTAAATGTACCGTTTCATTGTTAAATTGACAAGCTAATTGTATATATGGTGAGGGTACAGTATGATACTTTGGAATACATATATACTATGCAACGATATAATGAAGGTGTTTAGATTGTCCATTATCTCAAACATTTGAGCTAGAATACCATAATCCTGGAAAAACTGAGTCTCCTTAATGACATTAGTAAATACATACAGTTTTTGTACACTGGGCATCTCAATTGTTCTTAACTATTTCTGTAGTAAAATTAAATTGCATATAGGCAAAATTTGACGTCTAGAAATATATCCTATTTTCTTGATGAGAACCCTGAGACTCAAGAGTTTGAATGGCTTGCCAAAGGTCCTTCATGCAGTAATTGGTGGAGTCAGGATTTTAACTCCAATCTACTTGCTGTTATGTCCAAGAGCTTTAGGGAGCCCAGAAGATAGCGGTGTGTAACTCCAGAAAAGTCCCTGAAGCTCTTTATTACATCTTTCTTGGCAGAACTGAGGATCAGATGAAACAGTGTTAAATAAAATAATGCCCAGCACCTGGTACAGAAGAGGTCTCAACTACGTATTAGTCTGCGAGCTCTGGCTATCTTTTCCAAGGTCTTAAATGATCTATGGAAAACTGTCTCTACCATTGACCATACCCAGAAGCCAAGAAACTCAGAACTGACTACAGCACCAGTGAGAAGAGGCTTGCACACCACCCCAGAAAGCATGGAGCAACCATTTCTCTTTCCTTGGAGTATAACATTTGGGCCGGGACAGAAGGAACTAAATGCCAGTGGGAACACTGATATCCAATATCTTTTGGTACTTACAAACCGTTAGAGCTCTTTACTTGGCTGGGTTCTGGTTTGATTGGATCATGTTTTGACCACACTTTTATTGGCTTTCAGAATTCAGAAAAGGTCAAGCAAGCTTACATAGACCTTGACATACACCAGAATTATCCCTTTTTGGCACCATAGAACTTTGGTTAAATCAAGTGTTGTCTCTGCAGTAGTGTATCAAACATACAAAACATGAAGCTGGGCTGTCTTAGACAGGGGAATATGATTTTGATCTGCTCCCTCCTCCACTGGGAGGTAGGCTACTTCATGAAAGAAACATGTGAACCACTGACCTCTAAGAATCCAATGGACAAGCTGATATATGCTTAATCTTAATTCCTGACCCAAGGAAGGCATGGCATTAAATACAGTCTTAAAGTCACATAAATCATGACACAACAATAGGATTCTGAAAGTCACAGTTTTCATCCATGTTTTCAGCTTCCTTATTGAGGGAGAGATCCAGGGCTATAGCCAGCTGTCCCTATCACTCTTGTTTGGCTGCCTCCCTGCTCCAAAGGTCAGCTGTTTTATGGAGTTCTCTAAGAACCCAAATGTTTTCCTGATGCTTGGCACAGCAACCTTGTAGTTGCTTCCTCACACAAGGAAGGCTTATTCTCAGGGAGGCTGGAGGTAGGAACTTCGTGAGGGTTCCTTTGCGGTCTCTTTGGGAAGGAAGGATCTGCTGCCGCTCTCTCTCATGGTAGACCCGTAGGCTTCTTGTGGGTGCAGGCTTGGGGAGGGACCAGGCAGCTGAGCCCAGTGGAGTCTCAGCAGGGCTTTTACTTGCCCTTTGAGGGAAGACTAACATGGACATGGACTCTGGGCTTTTGCCTCCCAGCCAGGCCCTGACAATTTGAAGCTCAACTGGTCCCCTGGGCAATGCAGTGTTTTTTGTTTTCTTTGTTTTTTAAATAATCTTTTCCTGGGACTATAAATTCGAGGAAAGCCACAAATGGATGTGTATGGCTCTTGTAACTCACGGACTTCTACATAATTTTCTCTCCGGCTAGCCAATTAAGATCAGGGGTGACATTTGGGTTCTCTTTGCAGGTAAGAAAAAGGAGAGAAGGAACCGTTTCTTGGTTGTGGCTATCACAATAGTAACCGTCAGGTAATGACTGTCCTTTGTCTACATATACATTTCTAAAAACGTATGCATAAAGAATCACTTGCTGATTATGGAATAGTCGCTTGATATTTGAGAGTAGAGTTGTAGAAATTTTTCTAGAAACTTCCAAACTTGACCAGTTCAAATACAGCTGTTTTCACAGCTCAAGATTATGAATTAAAAGTGGAGAGGGATGGATTGGGGATTCTAGGACCCATTTAAGTTTCCTATTCCAAACACTTCTCAATCTTAATTCTGTGATCCAAGCTTGCTCCAAGAAAAAGATGCTAGCCATTATCTTAGGATAGCAAAAAGCATTTCCATGCATTGCTTGACCCTACTTGGTGATTCTCAGGAGCCATGAGATGACCACAGGTCTATTTAATCTTCCAAAATAGACAATAACCATCACCACAGCAAAGAAGAGCACACTCTTATAGTACCCAGCTTGCTGTATGTCTCAGAAGAGCTTAGAGTTTGATGTAGTTTGTTCTAAAGGTACCTGTGCTGAAGGATTTTGAAGCAGAGAGCTTTAGCATTTTTATATAATGTTCCATTAAAAAGCTTGATTTTATCTTGTATATGCATCTTTTTGGAATTCTATTGGATTAGGGTATACATGTGAATTTTCCCATGAACCAGTTTGCTCAGGCTATCAATTCTAGTGGAATATTTTCTTTGTCAATTCATAATGATTACAATGAAATCATACTTTGTTCAGGATTTATGAATGTAACAAATGTTTACCTACTGATTTTGTAATTAATCTTTTGAAGTATCCTATAGGCTTGATTTCAACAGTCATTTCCTCTCAGTAATCAAGGGACCACAGTTGTGGGTCTAAGTTTCAGGTTTTATCTTCAACTGTTTCATAGACTCTTTTTTAGAACCACAATAAAAGTATTTACAGTTGTGGTCTAAAACAGGAAGCCTAGGGCAATACAGTTTATCAGATAGGCATTCAAGCAATCCTCTCCAGCATTTATTGATATAAGTATTATTTTAATTACATCTAAATCACTGCAAGTTTCAGTCATTTAGTTATTTTTTAATGAGATAGAACTGGTTGTTACACCACCTATAAAAACTCCTTATAACATTTTTACTCTAATTTGCAGAATTAGAATTATCAGGAAAGCAGAAAATAAAATTGTGTTACCATAAAAGACTTTAAACAATTTGAAGAAAAATGTTAAACAGACTTTCTTGAAATGTAGTGAACTCCATGCTGCAGGAAGCAGCTAAGTAAAGTCTGTACAAATACCTTCCACTGACCTTAGGGGCAGAATCCTACAGTGGACAGTGGATGGCTACTGTGTTTCTTTCTATTCTGGGTTTTTTTTTTAATAGAAAATCTTGGCTAAATATTCAGCATAGTTGGAAAACACATTGTCTTTAAGAAAAAGTTTCACGTATTTTTAAACTTAGAAGATGGACATTTATTTTCTAATTATTGTTCATGTTCTCCAGAATGCTCAAAAACTTCCCTGTTTTTACCCAATGCAACAGCAAAAGACAGGTGACCAGGACAGTCCTTTGCACAATGAGACTTGATTGGAGAATTCTCTTACTTCCTACACACTTAAACATTGGACCATGTAACATTCTGCAGATATTTTGATGACAAAGTCTTAACATTGAGAATTTATAGTAACAAACTTACTTTGCCAGTGTAAAGTGTCGTGGTTCAGGGGTCGTCTAGCATATAGATCAAAGGCAGCTTAGCAGACAAGCTGGCCATCACGTAACCCAGACTTGTCCAGTAGTAGACAAAGGGTTTAGGCATAACACACGGCTGTCTTTTAAACATGGGCCAGCACACAGACTCCCAGTACCTGAAGAGCTGACTTCTATAATAGCAGTACTTTCCTATAAATAATGCATGGTCACTGGAGTAATTCAATAATCTTCAGGGCAAACTTGCTGGTTACGAGAGTTTGGGGCAGAACTGTGGTATCATCAAAAGCACGCTAATTAGCTGAGTATCACATTTGTACAGAGATGCAAGTAAGTCACTCCCCTCCATCTCTGATGAGATGGATGCACTTCAGAGATCTAGCTATGGTCATTATTTCTGGAGCCGAGAGTTCTGCCCATTCATCATGAGTAAAACTACCTCTACCAATCTTCAGGAATTTGTTTCTCATCAGTTTCTGGAAATGAGCTTGAGATATCATACTAACTCTGACTCTCTGTGAAATTTCTCCTTTTCTTGCTGAGGAAGCTTTTAAAACTCTCCATTGGGAGGAGTGGAGCATTGATTTGTGAATCAATATTTAAATAATGACAAATGCAAACACGTTCAAAATAGGAACATACCTGCTTTTGAAGATCTATACTTGTTCTTCTCTAGGTTACAAAGGATTCAATAATTCCCTAAAACAATTGCTAATAGGAGGAAGAGGTACCAAAGGAGATTCTATGTCCAATTAATTAATTAATTAATTAATTTTTAAAAATTGAAATCAGGGCAAAAGAGAATTCAAAATGGGGCTTGGAGGCTGTTTCTAGAAAATTCTCAGTCACATGCATGGTAGAGAACATAAATGGAATTACTAGATAATAAACAATCTGCCCTTAACTTTCATTAGCTGAAGATTGATTATACAACCAAATACCATAGTTAAGATCTGAATCAGAACATTGGTTTTCTTATACAAATTATTATTTTTTTCCCAA